GATAATGGTAGCCCCGATGCTCCTAACAGTTGGTGTCAGCAAGGATGCTGGCATTTGTTCTCTTGTCTTCCCAGCGAACTCGGAGGAGGAACGTTTTCAAGTGCCTTGAGGTGCCTCCTGTATGTAACCCATGTCTCGCTGCCATATAGCAGGGTGGGGAGGACAACTGCTCGATAAATGTGTAACATTGGAGATAATTTCAGCTCCCTACAGCTAAAGACACGGTCTCAGAGTATGCCAAAGGCTTGAGATGCACATCTGATCCGATACTGAATCTCTTCATCGCTGTCCACGGTGGTGGACAGGTGGGAGCCGAGATACCAAAAATGGGTAACATTGGAGAGGGTGGTACCGTTAAGCTGAATGGATGGTGGAGGTGTCTCTGAACCAGGGGCAGGTTAAAAGAGAACCTGAGTTACTTATGTTCGCCTCAAGGCCGAAGTGTGCATCTGCATAGGTGTTCAGGATCTCCTGTAGGTCGCGTTCAGTGTTAGCAACAAGATTGAGGTTGTCTGCATACTGAAGTTCAGTAGTGGAAGCTGCCAACACCTTTGTTCTTGCCTGGAGTCGTCTTATGTTGAAAAGACCCCCCCCCCCCTTCACCCGGTATTCGATGTCCATCCAGCCGGCTAAATTTGCACTGGCACGAGTAAGGAAGGTAGCCAAGAAAATGGAAACGAGGGTTAACGCCAGTACACACTCTTGTTTAACCCCCGTTTGGATGGGGAAGAACTCAGACTAGGTGCCATTGTGCAGGACACTGCCATTCATGCCATCGTGGAGTTGCCTCACAAAGGAAATGAATTTTGGGGGCCAGCCAAAACGGCTGAGAGTCCACCAGAGGGCTTTCCTGTTGACTGAGTTGAAGGCCTTGGTTAGGTCGATGAAAGTCATGTACAGGTCACGACACTGTTCCCTGCACTTTTCCTGAATCTGGCGGGCAGCAAAGATCATGTCAGTGGTGCCACGTGATGGTCTAAAGCCACATCGAGATTCTGGGAGGAAGTTTTCCGCCCCAGGAAGAAGTCTGTTGAGGAGGACTCGGGCAATAATCTTACCAGCTACGGACAGTAGCGAGATCCCATGGTAGCTACCACAGTCTGACCGGTCTCCCTTGTTCTTATAAATATTGACAATGGTTGCGCCTTAAAGAGCTTGGGGGATTTCCTCCTTTTCCCATATATTCTCTAGGAGAGAGTGGAGACAGTTGGTAAGCAGAGGTCCTCTTGCTTTATATACCTCGGCTGGGATTCCATCAGGCCCTGAGGCTCTGTTATTTTTCATCTGTTTGATGGCAGTAGCTACCTCATCCATGGATGGAGGATAGCTGAGGCGAGTCAGCTCTGGATGCTGAGGGACCTGATGGGTAGTCAGGACATCCACATCGGTGTTTCGGTTGAGCAGTGAATGGTAATGCTCTTTCCAGCGCTGAAGGAGGCCTTCATCGTCTTTAATTATGGAGTTACCGTCGGATGAGTGGAGGGGGGCTGCTCCACGAGTGTTTGACCCATAAAATGTTTTGGTTGAATTGAAAAATTAGCGCATATTGATCTGCAAACTTTTGTGTTTCACATGCTTTACTTTTATACCTGTCATTCTTTAGATTGCGAAGTTCCCGCTGGGCCACAGCTTTCTTCTTGTGGAAGGTATTAGCTTTAGTCCGAGACTGAGGATTGTTCTGCCAGTCAGTTAAAGCAGCACGTTTATCATTGACTAGTACATTGATTACCGTGTCATTTTCATCAAACCAGTCTTGGTGTATTCTTTCGACCTGGCCGAGGATCTCTCTCCAGGTTTTGTCATGGCAGTGTTGAGAATATCCCATTCGACACTGGGATTTGGGTTGTTCGTTGTTGGGTTGTTTATCAGTCCATGCTCGAGCTGCTCTCTGAATGCATATGCTACCGTTGGATCCTACAGACGCTTAGTGTTAAAACCTCTTCTAGAGGCTTGCTGCCTTCGCCGTTTTTGAGAGTTTGGCTCTGACGAGCCGAAGGTCGGTGTCTCAGTGGTCTGAGCCATGCATAGCACGGGTGATGAGGACATCACGGCAATCTGTTTCTCTGACAATGATGTAGTCAATGAGATGCCAGTGTTTGGATCGAGGGTGTTACCTCGAACCCTTGAACTTGTCGGCTTGCCTAAACAAAATATTGGTGATACTGAGGTTGTGTGCAGCACACTTGCTGAGGAGGAGTAGGCCGTTGGGATTACAATTGCATAGTCCATTTCTCCCTATGGTTCCCTGCCAAATGTCAGCATCTCTGCCAACTCTGGCTTTTAAGTCACCAAGGAGCACAACCTTATCTTCTCTGGGGACAGAGGTTAGCACTCTGTCGAGGTCGGCATAGAAGGCCTCCTTGATGTCATCCTCTGCACTCATTGTTGGGGCGTATGCACTGATGAAAAAGGCATGACATGAGTGATTCAGTGTGACTCGTTGATCCCAATAAGCATTTCAGTTAGCCTGTGTAGGATGCGTTGGCGGATGGCAAAGCCAACTTCTTAAATGTGGTTTTTCTCCGCAGCAGGCTTACCCTCGTTTTGTGAGTCGACCCTCATCTGGGAGCCTGGACTCACTAATGGCTGCTATGTCGATGTTATACCTCGCCAGCTCTTTTGCCACAAGGGCAGTTCTTCTTTCAGGACGCTCATTTGTGCCAGTATTCAGAAGGGTCCTGACATTTCATGCAGCGACCATAAGAGGTTGTAAAGTTTGTGTTTGTTTAGATCTGTGATTTTGATTGTGTTTTCGACCGCATAAGGATGACCTTTTATAGCCCCCTCCCCATGTAGGGTGAGCAAAGTGGCTCCTTGAAAGGGCTGCTCAGTAGCACAGATAGTACCGGGTTGCACTGCTGCCTAGATCCCAGTGCATAAACGACCATCTTATCTGTGCCGCACATGTGCAGAGTTGTGACTAGAGGCTCCCAGCAGTCATCTCTGCCTGTCCCCGTCGCCACTCGTCCGTCGCCATAGGACTTTTGAGGGTATAGGGGTTTTGATGATGACAGGTATGATGAGCTGGATGATGGCTGTGCGTGAGTTGATCTATGTGGTGAGGCAGGAGGGCAGGCTGAAACCACACATCTTGGCTCTCCCTTCTCCTGATCCAGTGGTGCAAGTGTTGCAACGACTGGGGAGAGGGAGAGTTGCAATGTACTGCCAATAGCCTAGTTTGTTGGGTTTCGCCTTCGTAGCGTGTCCAATCATGCATTTCCTTCAACCGCCGGTGTAGTCGCTGGGTTCCCATGGTGTTCACCTCTTCTGCCTATTCCACCGTTGGCGTCTTGTTGGAGCTCTGTAAGCATGTCTTCCTGATGCGGGGCTCCACCGCAGATTTTTCGTTCAGTGTTTACTCCCGTAGCCTTATACCTACCAAGGTTAATCCACAAGGCAGCGGGGCAATGGTTGGTAGGCACCAGGACCTGTCCACGTGCCAATGGGCCTATGTGCCGACCCTCTGGGTCCCACTGCTACTCTGAGATCCCCTGCTGTTCTCGCCTGGGCCGACCAGGCACCCAGTTACTGTGTGTTGCCACGAGGAGGCACAGCACACACACACACACACACACACCGTTAATTATTATTATTATTATTATTATTACACACACACACACACACACACACACACACACACACACACACACACACACACACACGTAGACACACACACACACACACGTACGTCATCATAGACTGGAGAGGGGACCCAGTTAAGTGATGTGTTGTCAGGTTGGAGGACTGAGATATCCGAACATGGAATCCCTAATACTTGAACATCTCGCAGTAGCCTCACCGCTCCTCCCAATATATCTTAATATCGATTTTTTTTTGGCTAAATTAAAGACATGTTCCACCAATAGTATTTCTCCATCGTGTACTTCTATAACGCCTGCGATTGGCTGATTGATTACACTCCCCACCAATGAAATTCTTCATTATCATCATCTTCATGTGCACTTGTGATTGGCCGAGCGTTGGTGATCGCTCTTGCTGGCGAAATTTTAATAGAGTTCTGACCTGACATGATTGTGGAACTTGTGGTGAGTTTAGTTGAGCCACCTGTTGCGTTTATGGTGTGATATAATAATAGAAGTTCACTGCTGTTTTAGAACACTTAACTCGAAATACTAGATTCACTGCCAATACCTTCCAGTATAACTAACTAGCAACAGTGTTTAAGACCTGTCAAGAGATGTGTGTTGCTACATCAGCCATGAGTTGTCTTATTGTTTATCACTGTTGAGGCAGTCGTGGAAATCAACAGTAAATAGAAGTTAATTTACTACAAAAAGTTTCACAAAATCTGCTTTTTGTTCAGGGAAGGTGAATATTTTTCCCTAAAGTGTAGATGAAAACAACTAGTGGGTTGTTCTTGGTTACTTAGTTAAACATTACATAATATGGTCCTTCGGTAAATGTCATTCAACATGGTCCAACAGGTTCTGCGCTGACCACGAGATGTGATGTTGGTGATGATCTGAGGACCAACCGTGACCTTTGATCCAGCAGCCGCTACCATGAGCAGAAAGGGGATGCCCATGGACTCCCCGTACCCTACATTGGGCTTAACACCCACCTCTCTGAGTTCAACATCCACGAACCTCAGCTCAACATCCACTTCCTTGGATTCAAGATTGGTCTCCTTGAGTACAACTTCCACGCCTCTGGTCTTAACATCGACAACTTCCGGTGCATCATCCATTCACCCGATCCCGACAACCACATCCACAAGCACACCACCAGCCTCCACCATCTCAACATCCATTAACATGAGCTCCATCAACCACTCGAGCCTGGCCACCTCTACCATGCTTTCCGCGCCCACACATGAGTCTCTTTCCACGCCCACACATGAGTCTCTTTCCACGCCCACACATGAGTCTCTTTCCACGCCCATGCCTGAGTCTCTTTCCACGCCCATGCCTGAGTATCTTTCCACGCCCACACATGAGTCTCTTTCCCCGCCCACACATGAGTCTCTTTCCACGCCCACGCCCACACATGAGTCTCTCTTCACGCCCACACATGAGTCTCTCTCCACGCCCACACACGAGTCTTTTTCCACGCCCACACACGAGTCTCTCTCCACGACCATACACGAGCCATTCTCCACGCCCATGCATGAGTTATCCTCCACGCCCACACATGAGTCTCTCTCCACGCCCACACACGAGTCTCTCTCCACGCCCACACATGAGTCTCTCTCCGCATCCATGCACGAATCATTCTCCACGCCCATGCTCGAGTCATTCTCCTCTCCCACACCTTCTGTACATAAAAATTGCACTCGCAGAGGCTGCCTCGTCCAGGAAATACACTTGTTACCCACACTGCAACATCCTCTCCTGCCGGATGTGGAGAATTCTCTGGACTACAGTGCCTCCAGTAACGTCCTCAGTCACTTCCTCCCTGTGGAGGTGTCGGCGGCACCCACCACCACGTCCCATGTGACGCCTTCTATGACGTCTCCGGCCGTGTCACCGCCAGCAGATCAGCCTATAGTCAATTCCTTGGTGGCCGCCTATCTGATTGTTGTAGGTGAGTGAAGGAAACTTTCTTACCTTAAGCAAAGTGATTTAACCCCTTGAGTACGATGTCTTGTTGATTAGGAGAATATTCCACCGCTCGTACTCAAAGAGTTACAATTTTATCAAACACGTACACGTTATAGGATCAGGGACGGGTGAGTTTGTTTGTTTAGGGATGCTGCTGCCTCCTGGTGACATCTTTTACATCTAATTCTTTTTGTGGTCTTCAGTTAATGGTTTCTCTTGTATGACTTCTGATGAACCTTACCCAGAACTACCCATACAACGGGCTGCCATTGTCAAAGTCATCTTTGGGTCTTGGGGCATTCCTTGGGCTATCTAATTCAAAGATTTCTCCCCAATAACAAACAGTGAACCTCGTCAGGTTTCTCGATATAGACACGACCCCTCAGCCTTTGTGTTTTTTTCCCTCGTTGGGAGCCTCTACACGGGTGCCCTCCTACAGGCAGGGAGCGTCGAAGCGGGGATTGATGCGACCAAGGTGCTGTAGATGAACTTCTTAAACCACCACCACCCACAGTAATTCCACCGTGACGACACGGGTACTGGTAGATGACTCTGATGTGTGAGAGAGAGAGAGAGACTTAATTCCATACACACACACACACACACACACACACACCTCACAGGTGAGTGAGGAGAAGAAATGGGAAGTTATTCGGCAGGTATAAAACTTAGCAAGGAGCGATGCATTTCGGAATATATTCATACACCCAGATCGCATGATAATGCAGAGCGAACAGCACAAAAAACACCTACGGTACTTGAGGAACGGGATCGGACGTACATGGGCTATATACAAGGGGAAGGTAGTGAGGCAAGCAGGCCAATACAGAGCCAGGGAACAGAGGCACACCCCCACCCGTTCTACCTCACACCCGGGAGGAGGCGAGTGCCATGTAAACAATGTCATCTGTGACCACACCCCACAAAATACAATGAATTTAGCAAACGCTGCAGCTGCTGAGAATGGAGGGAGGTCGGAGTCACTACCAAGATCAGAGACATTACCGAGAAAAAATTCCGGCTTGAAATTCATGCACACTAATACTGACACGTTCCTTGAGAGAGCAGAGTTTGAAACACCACTGAAGGTACATCAACCCGATATAGTAGGTGTTGTAGAACTGTTGAACAAGAGAATTGAGCCGGAAGAATGTGAGTTAAATGTACTCGGATATGACTCATTTACGAACCTTTCTCAAGCAACTTGCAAGAGGGGTGTGCATATCTATGCTAGGCAAGACCTTAGAGTCAGCCAGGCGAGGGTACTGGGGAAGGATGTTTTTGAAGAATCAAAGTGGTGTAAAATGAATCTAAATGGGAGAGATTTACTTATTGTCGGGTGTATCTACAGATCCCCAAACTGTAGCGTATTAAACCAAAGGAACTTAAGAGCCTAAATAGACAATACAAAGGTGCTCAGCCCTAGCCACCTGCTTGTCATGGGGGAATTTAATTATCGACTGGAGAAATAAAACCACGCCATATGACTTAAATAACCCCTCTACTCTTTTTGTAGAAACTCTGAGAGACAATTTTCTATTCCAACATGTTAGAGACCTGACTTATTACAGAGGGGAGCAAACACCCAAGCCTCTGGACCTCATCATAACTTACGAGGAGGGTATGGTGGCCAAGCTGGAACAACTATCTCCCGTCGGCACCAGTCGCCACATATCGTTGTCCTTCAGATTTAACTGTTACTTGGTTCATAACAAAACCAGGCAAAGGATCAAATTTTACAAGGGTAATTACGACGGGATGAGGGAGGAGATGAGGGGTATCCATTGGCCTGACTTGGGTATAAATATATACCCAAGACCAGACCCAGTGCCTTCAGGAATACAAGAAGACCGCTACGCATGAACCATGTGGCGGTCAACAAAGTTAAGAAAACCCAGAAATTGAAGACGTGGGTTAGGACAAACGATGAGCAGGACAGGAGGATGTATGCCAGATCCAGGAACCAAATAAAGTCAGAGTGTAAAAGGGCTGAAAAAGAGTTCCAGAGGCGGATTGCGAATGAGGTCAAGTCAAACCCAACAGCGTTTTACCGCTACGCAATATCGAAATTAAAAACGCGAGTAGGCGATTCGGACCTGTGGCTTGAAGATGGTATTTATGCTGATTCTGACCAGGACAAGGCAGAAGCGCTGAACAGTTTCTTTTCCTCGGTGTTCACAAGAGAGGATGCGAACAATCTTCTGCGTTTGAGGACAAATGGTTTGACACAGCGCTGACCCATATTATGTTCTCAGAAGAGGGTATAAGAAATAAATTGTCAAAGCTAAAGGTTCATAAGAGTCCCGGCCCTGGCATGGTGCATCCCAAAGTGTTTAGAGAGTTGTGCAATGAGCTTGCTGAGCACCTGAAGATCTTGTTCAGTAAATGCCTGCATGAGCAAAAGGTTCCCAGCGATTGGAAAATGGCTTATGTGAGTCCTATTTTCAAGAAGGGAATTCGTCACTCTACGAATAACTATAGACCAGTGAGCCTGACCAGCATAGTATGTAAAGTAATAGAGTATTATAAGAGATGTCACGATGGAACATCTACTATAAAACAACCTTGCAAACAATTGCCAACACGGTATTATGCCGGGACTCTCCTGCTTAACACAATTACTCAAGGTACTGGATGTTTGGACCCAAATTCCGGAACAGGGTGGTAATATCGACAATATATACCTAGATTTTGCCAAGGCTTTCGACAGTGTACCCCATGAAAGGCTGAGAATTAAACTGGAAGGGTACTGGATTTGGGGGAAGTGTCTTAACGTGGATCAGAGACTTTCTGCATGATCGCAAACAGTGTTTGGTGATTAATGGTACAAAATCGTTATGTATACCCGTGACAAGCATGGTACCACAAGGTGTGAAGGCAGTGCATTGGGCCCGTTGTTGTTGCTTTGTTTCACAAATGACATGCAAGAAGCTATACACTTCTCCATACAAATGTTTACGAACGATGGCAAGTTATTTAGGGAAATACGAACCAAACAGACTGTGAAGAGCTGCAGAAAGATCTCTGAGCTTCAAGAATGGTCGAAGAAAAATGGCTGCTAAGATTCATTGTCGCGAAGTGTAAGAGGTTGCACTTGGGATGAACCAACGGTAATGAGGCATATCATATGTTCCAACGGGATGAAGAAACTGCATTAATAGAGACTGAATTAACTCTTATAAGAAGGTCGTTCAAGATTGAGGTACTTCCCCACCTGGAGTGTCAGTTGATTGAAAATGTCCTAAGGAGGGCCACCAGACTGGTGTCTACATTTTGGCACCTTAGCTATCCAGAGAGATTAGAGCGCCTGCAACTGCCAAGCTTATACTACAGACGGACAAGGCGGGACCTAATTGAGGTGTATAAACATCTCAAAGGGCACTACACAGTCGAGTGTCCATACCTGGAGCTGGCAGGCACAAGGGGTCACAGCTCGAGGTTAAAGAAGCCACAAGTCCAGAAAATTTTGAGGGCAAATTTTTTCGGCGTTAGAGTCGTTAACTCTTGGAACAATCTGTCGGAGAATGTCCATCTCCCAGTCAGTCTTAACACAGCTTATATCAGTCTGTCTTAACACAGTCCATCTCTCAGTCAGTCTTAACACAGTAGGGTGTGTCATACGGAGGCGAATTTTTTTTTTGAGTTTGAAAAATCGGCCCATGGTATTAATGATGTAGTTCTATGTGCAGAATCATGTGATATCTTCAGATTTGAAAAGTTTTCATTTTTTGCTAGGTAAATTTTAACTTGAAACCTTATGAAAATTCAGTATTCCCACCCTTTTACCAACACCACTAAATAGCTTATTTAAAGTAAATAAATGTATCAGGTTAATTTATTAGGATGAAAATGATCCAGAATAGTGAAAAATGATCTTATTTATTAAATTTAATATTCCTTTAGAAAACAAAATCATCAAATACAAAAACCGGTTTTACTACTACGACCCGGTGTTGCTGCACACCATAGAGAACATGTCTTTCTTGCTTCTGTTTCTACTCATCATCTCCCTGCTGACCACCTGAGCTCGGATGTAGCCTTCCCTCCTCTCCTGGCTGTACACGTGACTGCTGGCCTCGCTCACTTGCTGTACACAACGCTCTATACTCTGGGTGTGCGAGGGCCAGGCAGGGACATGCATGGGGTTGTCCAGGAAAGCTCTGACTTGAACATTGGTGAGGCTGCAGGTAAGAGGGGCTCACTGCCAGCCTGGATGTTATCCAGATCTATGAGATCAGTGAGGGTCTTGGCACCTAGATTGACTTCAGGAGTCTTCCTGACCCTGAAGGAATCGTCACCAACTGATTCGTCATGCCCAGATCCTCTCATAAGTCTCATATCCAAGATCTTTTTGACTGCCACTCTTCTCTCCTCCTCATCCTTACTGCAGAGCATTGTCTGCAGAACTGCCTCAGGATGAGCATACCAGGAAAGATCTCCTCACAGTCTGCTCCACAATCTGAACAACCTTCCTTGGCTGACTCCTCAGGAGCTCAAGCTGGAAGAACATATGCCTCGGACCTTCGGAGAATGATGACTTGACCTTGGTGTTGAACCAATTTGGCAAAAAGACACTCACGATGAATTGGACAATAAGTCTCAGGTTGTGAAGCTGGTTCCCTTTCAGTTTATGATGAGCGACCCAAATTCTGCAGAACCTGAGAGCCGTTGTGAGCCCCCTAGAATGTGAGACTGGACCTATCTGCAGGTAAGCAAGTCTATCAGGCATGACCCCAGTTTTGATGGCACTGCAAATCATGTAACCATAGTACTGGTCAGTACTCAGGTCGTCAATGACAGTATATGCAAGCTCAACGAGTGGAGGGCCAACTGTGATTTTTTCAAAGCTCGGATTTATTTCTAACTCAGTGGCAGAATCCAGCATCTTGCCATGAGGACCAGACCATCTGTTGTTTGAAAGAGTCTTGCCATCCAGCTCCTGGATCAGATGTCTGAGTGGCAACTCGTTGGTGTGGAGGTCACAAACAATCCAGACCAGCTTCCTCCCAATCTTCCGCTCTATCCACTGTATGACCCCCCCCTTGCCACCCTGTGTTCGTGTTGGTGCTGTCCTCCAATGGCCTGCAGGGTCTGGTCTACGTTCCTCTCTGAGCCAGTTCACAATGTTATCTGCCACTATCTCAGCTGGTTTCCTGATGTCATCTTTCTCTGGAGTGCAATGCCACAAATACTTCCCTCCTGGTTCACTGCAGCAGGAGTAGTGTTCCTCTTCCTTTCTACCAAGTGGCAGGGAACAACTTGTCAGAATCTCCAACTTTCTGCGAACACTTTAGTGTCATCCCTTCTCCCATCAAAGAAATGTCACCATTCCATTTTCTTATCCCTTATCAAACCTCTAGGTTACTGACAAGCTTCCTGAGCTCTCCTTACTTTGTTATGATCTATCACCAGGTGAACATCATCAGGTGTTATCAAACCACCGCCAATCCAGGCAGTTGCTGCTGGCCTCCTGCAGTTTCTCTGAGACCAGTGGTGTCGTATGCTGGCTGAGCCATGCCTGGATATCTTTCCCATTTCTGAATCTTATGCCTGAAGGTTTGGGATCATTATTTTCTGCTAGGAATAAAGCCTATTCTCCTGGCTGCACCGATCAGCCATGGGAAGTCACAACCCCTGAATCAGCGACCCAATCATCGGCCTTTTTACTCCACCCTGGGCCTCAAGTCTCTTTCCTCGGCAACCCTCTTCTCTTCTGTCTCTGTGGCAGCCTCCGTCCTGACTCGAACATCTTGCTAAAAATCATGAGAGCCCCTATACTGCCGCTGGGGCCTTCTGTGCTTTGACAAATGCCAGTTCGATCACAGAAATCTTCAGTTCACGCCTGTAAATACAGGAGATGTGGGCCTCGGATTTACAGCTCACGATCGCATCCTAAACTCAGGACAGAGGAACAATTGCACTTGCAAGTAATTATGTCAAATAACTGGTCCAGTTGTTTGGCAAAGTTGTCCTAACTGCAAAAGTTTTCCTCCCAAGAGAGAGAGATATCTTGCTCTTTTCCCAACTGGCGCAGTCTCTCACTAATCTTTCTCTTCTGACTTGTTATGACTGGGAGGCTTGAACTGAGCGTTAGCCAGAGTGTACTGTGCCAAGACAGCTTTTGGTCATATCACTGGTAATGTCTTTGTTTGTGTGTTCTTTTTTTTGGTTCTTTTCACCGGATTTGCCTGATTAGCACCGTATCTCAAAGCATCTTCGTAGGCAACTCCGACTTCAGGAGCTCTCCTTAATTCAAAGATAAGTGGACTGATGGCTGATTTGGTTCCTCGTCCTGACACAAGCAGTCATCGCAAATATTATCAACTTATAAATGCATCAGAATCTGAAAACAGAAAAAAATATTGTTAGTTGGGTTGTTAAAGAATGAAGTCAGAAAGCAATGTTCACTATTTAATTGTAATGCACTAATGCAGCTGTACGTTAGATTTTCGATAAATTTCACGCTAAAATTTACCAAGCAAAAGGTTGCAAAATATTGAAACTGAAATTATTTTCTGTTTATATACACTAAAATCTACCAAAAAAGTGATGGGCCATTAGTTTTAGCTGAGCTTCCCTCCTATGACACACCCTATTAACACAGTCCATCTCCCAGTCAGTCTTAACACAGTCCATCTCTCAGTCAGTCTTAACACAGTCCATCTCCCAGTCAGTCTTAACACAGTCCATCTCCCGGTCAGTCTTAACACAGTCCATCTCCCAGTCAGTCTTAACACAGCTTATATCAGTCTGTCTTAACACAGTCCATCTTCCAGTCAGTCTTAACACAGTCCGTCTCCCAGTCAGTCTTAACACAGTTCATCTCCCAGTCAGTCTTAACACAGTCCATCTCCCAGTCAGTCTTAACACAGTCCATCTCTCAGTCAGTCTTAACACAGTCCATCTCCCAGTCAGTCTTAACACAGTCCACCTCTCAGTCAGTTTTAACACAGTCCATCTCCCAGTCAGTCTTAACACAGTCCACCTCTCAGTCAGTCTTAACAGCCCATCTCCCAGTCAGTCTTAGCAGTCCATCTAACAGTCTACTAACAGTCAGGTCCTCCTCAGTGGTGGTGTCAGTGGTTGCCAACATCGTGGTCGTGGTGGTACGTGTCTGTGGGAGGCGTCGTCGCGTCCGCAGTGGCCACTTGTGTACCCTGAGCCTGGCCGTGTCTGACGTGGCCTTCAGCTTGCTGGTACACACACTTATGATCCTGGCCGCTTTGGGGGTCGACCCTGTCATTCTCTTCAGTACGGCAGGTGAGTCAACTGCTGGCCTAACCTAACTAAATCCATAACCTAACCTAACCTAACCTTAACCTAACCTAACCTAGCTTAACCTAATTCTAGCTTGTTCCTCAACACGACAAGCAAGTCTTTTAAGTGAGAGTAAGAGGGATGTAGGATGAGGGAAGAGGGAGGTATTCATGCAAAACACTCACTCGGTATGGGACCTTGTATCTCCTGGTACTTACGACTTCAGGTACCACCCACAAGCTATGACCTGGTATCTCTGGTATGATCAGCAACTCTCTAAAAATCTGAGAATAGTGGAGTGATCTTACAGTGTTGCCTCGCCAGCGTTTCCCACCCAACGTGAACAATAGCGTAGCGTTTTTAGGTCGAAGTTCCTGACTTGCATAATATTTCTCTATGGCGGTTAGTCTTTTCCGTAAATAAAAATAATTAAAATAAATAAATTAAACAGGTAAATTATACAAATTAATTCTAAACCTGAAAAAAATAACTTAATGAAATAAAATAGATTAAAAAAAATACGTATTGAAGTGCACTGAGATTAGCTTAACTCGATACGTTCAGTTAGTTCCAGTTGAAGTTATATTTTTCAGTCTTTTATTTTCTTGTCTATTAACAGGAAAAGAGAGGAGGAAGATTTAGGAATAAAGAAGGGAGATAGGAATGTGGATAAGTCAGTACTAGGTTCCGGAGTTAAAGAACGAGAGTAAGTAATAAAACCTGAAGACCATTATAAAGGACTGAAATAACACAGGGATGAAGAGCACGGAGGCTATGACAGAGATTAAGGAGGAAGGGGGAAGGAGAGTACAGGAGAGGAAGGAAGGAAGGAAGGAAGGAAGGAAGGAAGATTAAACCAAATAATCGCCTTTGTTGTAATGGAGACACAAATACTATACGCTTCACCTAGACTACAACACCACCATAAGTCACACCCAGAAATCATTACCATGCTTAGGGCGGATGTTCGGCCATCTTTCCTCTCCAATACTTCATTCTTACGTGTCCTACACTTCTTGCTGGCATGGTTCATAAGTCTTGGAGGAAATACTGAGGTCAATCTTGAACGAAGCCCTGTGTGACTTGGTGTGGATTAGCTATTGTGTGGTGAGTGTATTGTGGACGAGATGTACCATAAGTAATTAATAAAGAAAAGCAGAAAAAAAAGAGACGTGCTCGATTACCTCCTCGCCTCTTCCGCCCTCAACATGTGCATAATCAGCAAAAATGTCTGAAGGAGGTGATGAAGAGGCTCACACCAGGGCCGGGATACTCAGAGGATCGGAGTCTTAGTTTGTTTTCTCCATAAATGTGAAGGTGAAATGTATCTCTGGCTCAACTAACATACAACAAGAAGTTGGGTACATTGCTACATCATAAGTTACGAAGAAGATTGGTTGTGTGAGCCTCAGTGGACGCTCGCTTGATGTAAACACCGTATCATTTTCTGTCATGATGTACAGTTTCCCCAGTTCGTGTACTTTGAGAGGCAGTTTGTCAGGTCAAGAAGCGTTTTTCTGCAGCTCTCTAAGCTTATTCAGTCGCGGTCTGACCACGTAAGGGGACAGACGTGTGCTCATAGGTGCTCCTGTCCTCCCAATCGTCACACAAAGGCCACCTCAGCCTCCACCTACCCCTTCGCCGGCAAGTGTTGCCAGCGATGAGGAGGCGGGGTCGACGTATGCGCCCAGAAGAGGTGTCCCCTCTCTCATGGATACAGACATTTCTGAGACAGATAGTCATAGTGCATCCCACACCCTGCAAGAGTCAGACCTCAGTGATAGTGACAGTAACAGTAATGTTCTATGGGAAACACTTGCCGGAGTGGCAACACCAATGCCAAGGGCAGTTCTCCCTTCGCCACCCACCCCTCTGCCAACCAACCAAGTAAATTACATCTGCACTTCCCCAAGGACTTATTGAAAACTGTCGAGGAACAGTTTAATTGGACAACAAAGTATTGGAGATATCACGGTCTCACCATTCAATTCCAAAAAGGTAAGAACCGTAACTTTATCAAGTGTCAGACACCCGAGGTCTATGAAACACTTAGTCCTGTTGGATTTGACGGCGTTGTCCTCGTGCCTCCACCTGCTGACGCAACGGAATGTTGCCACATCCTAGTTCAACAGTTCCCCCAATACCTGAAGTCGAAGATGCTCGACTTTATTCCACGTATACTCAGTATACGTCGACACTACCGAGGGAAGACCCCACAAGCAGCTGTCATAGTTAAATGGAAGGGGAGGGAGTGCCCAGCCACTGTTGATGCCCACCCAGTCCTCCCCCCACTGTACGCTGAACCCTATCACCCCGGGCCTGCTTTTTATGTCATCTGCTCCCATTGGGGTCACACCTTCACCGCCTGCTGCCGACGATAGTGATCGTCCCAGATGTCGCTTCTGTTCACGTAACCACCACTCCTCCGTCTGTGCCCAAAAAATCAAAGACCACCTCAATGGGGGTGGTGTGGGCTATATTGTTGACCCCAGGTGTTGTAATTGTGGTGGCTGGCACAATGCTGACTCACGGCAATGCCCCAAACGTCCGCCTGTCCCAGGAGAAAAGCCCCTCGAAGGCTGCGTCAATCTCAACCTCTCCCCCAGCCTACCGAGCCTTCTTCAACAACACAGGCCCCTGCCTGGCCTCACCTGGCTGCAACACAGCAGTCCCGGCCGTCTCCTCACTCAACTACTACTGGGCCTCCTCCCCGTCTCTACTCAGACGCTGTCAGACCTTGTGCCCCCCATAACCCCCCCTCCGGTGACACGACACAGATCATATCCCTCTTACACGAATTTACCAACCGTATTGAAAGACTCTTTGATACACTCTGTACTGCCATCTCCAACCTACACAGACTACCCCTGCCTCCAGCTGCTACCCAGTCACCCCCCTCTTCTGGTTTGACACAACCTGGTAGCCCCCCCGTGTGCCCCTCATGCTCACGGCTTACTCCACCGCCGCCTGGCATCACTGCTGGCGTCCACGCTTCCGAGCCTGCCCCGGTGTGCCCGGCTGCCCCCGTCCACCCACCGCGCGCTCGTGGACCGGAGGACACCACCCTCTGCTCCCCGTCCTCCACTCGCATGCCGGCACCTGGGGCTCATCCACTCCAGTTCTCCACATCAATTGACCACCATGCGGACGTGCTAGTGCACTACATATCTATGCCAAGAAGGACGTCCCTTACCAACCTCTCGACGTCCCCCTTGAAGCGTACACTACCGACGTACACGCCATCACAATCACACTAAAAGGTATGTCCCTCAATACTGTCAATGCCTATGGCTATGGCCTGGCACTTGACACTATTATGGACCTGCCACACTGCCATAAACAGATAAATTGTACCGGGAAATTTCCCCCCACACACTCATCATTCTGTCACTTTATGCAACTTGCTGACAAATCCCATGACCCTTCAGGCCTTTACGCCCTATAATGAATGAGTCATAAAAGCAAGCATGAACTCCGCATGCTTCCCAGATGGACGCTGTAAACGCTTCTGCGCTTCACCCTGCACAGGACGTAAGAGGGTGCCCAATAAACTAGCCCCCTCAGGGGCAATCTAAAAAAAATCTAAAACTAAGCTTATTAATGTACTTTTTATTCTGGAGTATTTTATTATTTTAATTAAATCCGTTTGAGTATGTTACTGCCTCGATGTTTACTGTTGAGTGAAAGACTTATACTATACTTCATGTAATCTAAGTATTTTCCAGGATTTTCTGAGAACGTTGAGACATTTTCAGTGTTCTAACGCCAAGTGATGAGTGAAATTATACCATATTTAGACATGAGGATCCCAGAAAATTATCACAAACATGAGTGTGGTTAGGTTAGGTTAGCTCGATCTTTAACCGCTGAATGCCAAAGATAAATAACCTAAAACATTTATCATAGATGGCAAAATTCACCCTTGCCTCGTTGTCAGCCTGTAATTCTGCTGAACAAAATCCAGACTCGGTAAGCAGCTCAGGGAATATATCATTGAAATTTGCTGCCATTTTTTGTCTGCATCCATGGGAAGTACAGAGTGCATTAAGCTGAGAGCAGTTCAGAGGTAGGAGTGTGAATTTTCTGCTGCGTAACGTGTCACCAGCGTTCGCTTCCCCTGGACTGACCAGACTTGACACAAGGAAAGTAACTGTATTATTCCCTTGACCATAATTTATGGTCCCGACTTAACGAGGCAGCACCTGTCGGCCACGTCCTTCAGTCCTTGACACCTGGACTATGACCTCTATGGGACCCCTTATGAAGCATCCCGCTACCCCGTGTTTGGGAACCACTGATTCTTCACTGGAATTACTGAGTCATCTGAAGAGTCACCGCCCTCCCCTCCCCCACCACAGTTTATTTCACCTGAAGAATAACCACCCTAGCCAAACAATACTTAGGAGGGTTAGGTTAAGGTAGATTAGGTTAAGTAATGTCCTAGGTTACGTCCCGAGTACCCGGAGCAGCCCAGGACCAGTAGTGGACACCTAGAGAGGTAGGTAGGGTTGAGGTGATGGAGGTAGATGGTGATGGAGGTAGATAGATGATGGAGGTAGATAGATGATGGATCAAGTAGATGGTGATAGGATCAAGGTCAGGACTGGTAGTGTGTGCATGGCCTCAATAATGTGTCGCGTCTTCCTCCCGCCCCTCCCGTAATGCTTACACCTTCGCTCTACTGTAATGATCTAAGATAAGTCACAACTGGCCAGCGGATATGTGATGATTGTGGCCTATAGTGGCTTCTTCTTCTTCTTTTTCTTCTTGTTATTTTTCTTCTTGTTCTTTTTGTTCTTTTTCTTCGCTCTTTTTCTTTTTTTCTTCTTTTCCTCCTCTTCTTCTCCTCTATGCTCCGCAAAACTTTTCATAAATTGTATTAAATTTCAACCTGTCCTAATGTTTTTTTAATTGATAAATAAATGAATTGGTAAAAAATAAATAAATGGATAATTAATTAAAATAAATATATATATAATAAAGGGAAATAGGTTAATAAATTA